GACGACTTCGTGGCAGCCAAAGCGAGCGTTGGTGTACGGTGCTTTTTCTGCAAAATTTTGCTGTCTTTTCTTGGATTTTCTGTTTGCACATAGTCACTTTAAGATGTATTCTTGTTCATGTTTTTGTTTTTTGTTTGTTGCGGTTGCACCCGATTCAAGAGCCGAATGGCTCACAGGGCTATACCTAATAAATGAACTTGAACTTGAGAGAAGGGGGACATGCCAAGGGGTCACCCGCGCAGCAGATGGAGTCGCGATAACGAGGCCGTATTCCGGAGCACGTAGGACGGGTGAGCGACGGCTCGCGAAGGAATTCGTCCAGAGCGGTGATCGGATCACGGTCGCTGGGACCGCCACTCACACGAACCTCGGTCCGATTGATTGACCCGAGCCGAATGGCAGCGAGGTTGCGTCCAATTTAGTCGGTGGCGAACAATCCGCTGTCACGCACGACTCGAATGCCTCGCAAACTCGCCCGTGCCACGCAACAAAAGGTCGTGTAACTGCGCTACGAAACCTGAGTTCCATTCCCTGCCATCGCTACCATTGGTTACGAGTGGTATCGGGATTTGTCCCGAGTCTCCCCTAGGTCGACTGGGCCTTAAATGAGCACCTTCTGTACTGTGTAAATATCAGCACCGACGGAGACAAATTCGCCTGGGCGTGACCCTGGCCACACCACCTCCTTGCCCAGCCTCCTCGGCCTTCATAAGCGTTCGTTCTAACAGCACTTGACCCGACAGCTTTGTGCAGGCTATACGGGGGGTCTTTGACTTTGTGTGTTTCTCAATCTCCTCTGCGTGGACAAACAAGTAGCGCACGTTTCCACGTTTACCAAACTTCACGTGCGTGCAAAGTGGAACGACTTAACTCGCTTTTAATAGCCCATTGCCCCCGAGCCCTTGGGCCTGTTAAATGCGCAACTTTAGTGGCACTAATTTCTCTGCACGGCCAGTAAAAGTTAATTATTCTGTGAAAACCTATACAACGCGTTACACGTTCAATATGGGCAGGGCACGTCTCGAGACGGGACGATGACCGGTGGTCGAGAATAGTCATGGAGTGGCAGAAAAAGGAGGAGGCAACGCACCCGAGAGGATGTACACCGTGAAGATATTTGAACCAGGCTTGGGTCTCGCCTAGGTCGACTCAGCCTTAAGTGGGTAGCCCAGCGCAGTTTGTAAACATCAGCACTGGGGAAACAAAGGCGGGCGAGCGTGGTGTTGGCCACCTACTCCTGCATGTGCTCAGTAACAGTACTTACCCCAACAGTCTGTTTTCATGTAACTTTATATCTATTTTTATGTTACCAGGTAAGGCCCCCTGAGCTTTGTAACTTTTTTTCAGAAGCGACCTGGCCAGAGATGGTAGCTCAACGAAGTGGCTCATCACGTGCACATTTATTTCAGCCACATACTCGAAGCGTGTTGCTTCTAAATGTGGAGGGGAAACCCGGAGGATCCGGAGAAAAATCCACGCGACCGCGGGGAGAAACACGCAAACTCCAAATATGCAGGCGTCTGGGTGTGGATCGAAACCACGACCTGCCACCGTGGCTACACGGTAGGGTGTGTGTGTGGGGGGGGGGGGTCTCAGTTGATCAGGTGGTGGCCTTTATGTGCCGGTCGATTGATTCGATTAGTCATGGCCCATGATGATGATGACGACGACGACGAAATTCAGTACAAGTCATGCGCTGTTTGCCGTGCCTGATACCCCCCGCGGGTCTGTGTGCCTCGTGGGGTCATCGCCCGGCTCGAGTCAAGACGAGACTTGCCCCCCGCCTGCCCCAGCAAGGAGGCGCCGTGACGCTCGTGCCACGCAACCGCCCTGGTCGTCGTGGTTGGTGATGATGATGATGACGATGGTGGCGGTTGTGGCTCTTTGCCTCTCTCTGTAAGGCAACGAGAGCAGGGAGAGAGGGATGCTCGCTGTGTCGCCACCGATATGCGAGAAGCCGAAACTCACCGAGCATCCCTTGAATGCGCCAGCGCTCGGAAGCGAAGCAGAGTCGAGACCGCCTACGGCAGAGTCTTTCACTCATTTTCACAGAGAGACAGGGGGTGGGGGGGGGGGGTGTTGGGCACTTTCACCGATAAGACATCTTCTGTGTGAAGGCCGCCACACTATTTGAAACCATTTGGTGTTTGACAGCAGCACGATGATGATGGGGGGTTGGGGGGGGGGGGTGTTTTCACTCGTTGTGTGTTGTCGGGGGCATGAAGTCAGGGGCCGCACTAGAGGCCACCAGAAGTCGCGAGTGGCCCGCGGGCTACTCGCAGTGAAGGACGCTGGCCTATTGAGCGCCTTATAGGGGCGAGCGCCATTCATACAGCCAACAGAGGGATGTGAAGAGGACACTTGAGATGGTCAGGCAGGATCTTTATTTCCAAGGCAAACTCACAGCGTACTTACACTCATCATGGGAAACCGACCACTAACCCTCCAACTATTCTACTTTATGTAGCCCGTCTCCCCCCCCCCCCCCCTTTCCACAATCATTCATTTCTCGGGTTTCCCCCAGTTTGTTAATCCTTCTGGGGCCAATTCCCTCCACTCAACACTCGGATTGCGTGTCGTACACGGCAGCGCTCCTGTGACCCTTCACTTTCAGTTTCATCTATTTGGTGTAGCCCTGTGAGCCATTCGGCTCTTGAATCGGATGCAACCGCAAGAAACAAAAAAACAACCCGTGGTTGTGTGTTGTTTGTGTGTGAGGATGTCTCGAACATCCTCTACATATATTACAGGCTGTCGCGTTGCGGGCAGTTAAATGTAAGAGCAGCAATCGTCGCCCTGTACTGCGACGCTCACCCGTCTACGCATGCGGCCTCCGCCTTCAAACCCGCACCCACCAGCGTTCACGTTTGGTCAAATAATCCGCCACGAGCCGAACGGCGTGGAAAGGTCCTCATTCAGCAGTGGGTTGACAAAAAGGTGCTCCATACGTTCCCACTCCAGGAGTTATGATGATGGCGACGCAAGACGCACGCAAGCGCACACGTTACAAAATACACGCACGCGTCCATACACAGAGACGAAACAAAGAACCTTCACTGTATAGAGTCTAAGAGACTGTTGGTTGGTGCAAGTGCTGTTAGCGAGGGTTATAATTGAGGCCAGCACGCACGGCGGGAGATGGGGTGGCGTGGCTAACACCACGCCCGGCCTCCTTTGTCTCGCCAGTGATGATGTTTCAGACACGTGCTGTATACGTATTTACACTGCTTTGGAGTTTGAGAGTCGCGGGTTGATTTTCTTTCGTCGACCGGCGTGAGTTGTTCCGGTGGGTCCACACCGGAGCGACAAGTTGCTCAACCAGATCGCCTGCCATACACAGGGTGGCTCAAAACATTGTTAACACTTTTATGGGATTGTCGTTTTGAATGGAAAAAGAACGGATAATACTACATTGTAACATGATAACAAATGTATGTTAATAGCTTCAAAAAGTCACTTGTTCGCCATCATTGTCAACACGTGCCTGGAATCTTCTCCAGGTCGTCTGCATAGCCCGGAGAGCACATTTATTGTGGCATTTTTCGCAAATTCTCAATAGTGTTTACTTATTTTGAAGCACCCTGTATAAGCACGTATATACTGGACGCGGTGTGATTCGGGTGGGTAAATATTTGATGATGATCGTGGTTAGCGGAGACGTCGACACTAACACGATTGGGTTGCTTGCGACCACGTCGCTGAGTTGTGAACTCGCCGTGAGATGTCACCGCTCGGATGAGTTGGCGATTCCCCGGGGTTTCTGTCGCTAGGGAATTGATTGACACTTTGGCGTGACAAATTGATTGCCGGGGTTAAAAAACTAAAAAAAGCTGCCAATTTTGGCAACGGCGAGCGCCCTACGGAGAAATGTCGCGACCAACTCAAAAGAGACGACAAGTCAAAAATCATCGCATTTATGGGATAATGGGATTGCTCAAACGTAGCGGTGTGGGGGAGGCCCTCGTTCAGCAGTGGACTGACAACACAAAACTAGCTGCTATAGTACACGAACAATGATGATCGGGCCTTAATCTATCACCGAATATAATTTTCAGGTCACTGGTAGACACGAGTAGGCACGTGAGTTGGAACTCCGCTGCCAGGTACATTGCGACGGTTTACACTGGATGTGTTGTTCCGGGAGCGGATTTTTTTTGTCTTTCGGGATCGTCAACTCCGACAGACCTGGCTGCAATGTCGCCCTGATGAAGACGCTGGTAATTAGTGAGCGTCTCGGGGGGAGGGGCGCGGTGGTGGGTTAGTATCTGTTGTAGTAATCTCCAGGAAGCGATGACCCCCACTCCTCCAATTAGCGCGGCTGGCCCACGTACGGTGAGAAGCAAGTGCAACGTAGAAGGGAAATAATAGAAGAATAATAAAATAAGTGAGTGAGAATTGTATTTTATTATGTTTTATTTTTATTCTTTTATTCTTTCCCTTCTACGTGACTTTGCCGAAAGAACCAAGAAGATGAATCCCTGCAGTCACGAAAGCTTTAAATCGAAATTTAAGTTCCAGGTATTATAGAAGTTCAACAGACTGTAGGGGCAAGTGCTGTTAGCGAGCATCCATGAAGGCCAGAACGGTACACGAGGGGGTGGGTGGCCAGCACCACGCCCGACCGCCTTTGTCTTCCCAGTGGCGATGTTTACTACACACCGCACCAGGTACTCATTTAAGGCTGAGTCGACCTAGGGGAGGCCCAGGACCGGTTCAGATAATCGTCACTGGTGTTAGCCGTGAGCGGGAATCGAACCCGGGTCGCCAGGTTCATAGCGCTACACTACCGCTCCCCACAACATACAAAGAGACAAAGATCCCCCGTATAGCCTTAACAGACTGTAGGGGCAAGTGCTGTTAGCGAGCACCGACACAACATACACACACTCACTCACAAGCAAACCCACCCTACCCCGCCTCTCCCAACCCCATCCTTCACGGCCCAGTGACGCCGCCCGGAGCGACGCGGAGAGTCACGACCGCACCATCGCCCCGCGCGCGTTGCCGTGGTGAAGCCCCTCCGTGCGTGCACGCGCATTCTCCCTTACTCCTCCTCCTACTTCTTCCTCTCGGCTCCCGTGCGGTTATGTCCGCTGGTCGCTGCTGCTGCTGCTCGCTGCCCACAAGGTCAACACCTCTCACCGCCAGTCCACCATGGGTGACTGCTACGAGCTCGGGGCAGCAGCAGCAGTCGTGGTCGTGGCGAGTCGGGCGCAAAGACCGCTGTCGAGGACTTTCCAGTCGAGCCAGGAGTTCACGCCGATGCAGTTGCCGCCCAGGATCACCGTGTCGCCTGGACGGTGCGTGCGAAAACTAAAAATAAAACTAAAGCTATGTTTGTTTGTTTGTGTTTAACCAGGTGAGACCCACTCAGCTACGTCGCTCTTATTCAGAAGCGAACTGGCCGCGTGATGATAGCTCAAACAAGTGGCTCAGAACGTGGAAATGTATAGCAGTCGGGATCTCCACGAGAAAGACAGAGAGAGAGTCTGAGTTGGCAACAATAATATAAATGTATCGTTTTTAGAGTGAAGTTCAATGTAACGTTTCCCATCGCGTTTTTGTTTCGCATTGCGCTTCCGTGTTCGGTTCGAAATTCGAAAACGTTGAAAACCGTTAACCGTTAACCGTTGGCCGGCCAGAATCGATTAACCCGTTCCTAACGTACAAACCGCACGGCGGCCCTAAGTCACCGCGTGGTGCGTTAGCCTTTGTTTCTCAGTCAAAAGGTAAAGGCACTGTCGCAACAACTTACGCGATGTCTACTTTACTTGCTAACGCCACTGCTGACGGAGGCGCGTCCAATAGAGGTGTGCTCCAATCTTGATTTAAAGCTTTCGTGACTGCAGGAATCCATACGCTTCGGTTCTTTCGGTAAAGTCACGTAGTTATAGAAAAATAATAGATCACGACGTTTTGATCGCAACACAAGCAAGAACTGTGCTTTGAGGTTGTCGTGCTGTGCTAGTTTTGATCTTGGCTTCTCATTGAAGAAGAAAAAAACCACACCGTTCGTTGGTGCAGTTGCTAACTTCATACGGGTTGCTACGTTGGTCCCAGAGGTCGCAAACGGGTTTTGATTCCTTACCCATACCCGTACCCGGCCGCACCAGGGTCGCAAATGGGTACCTGTACCCGTACCCGGCCGGGTACGGGTACCCGTTCCCTACCCGTACCCTACCCGAAATGAGTGGCAAACGGTTACTCACCAGTGACTCACGGCCTACCCGTACCCGGCCGCACCAGGGTCGCAAACGGCTACCCGTACCCGTACCCGGCCGGGTACGGGTAGCCGTGTATCGGGTAGGGTACGGGTATCGGGTACTCGGTTGCGACCTCTGGTTGGTCCAGACCAGAGGTCGGCAAACGTGCGTCTCTGGAGCGGCATGAGGTGGCTCTGTAAGAACCGCTGCTGCGTGGCCAGCCGTCTCGTATTCCCGTGGCATTGTGGCACCTGAATTATTGAGTTTCTGTTTAAGCGATTCGAAAGGAATGACTCTTAGTGTTATTTTGGTTACCGAGCCCTGGGAGGGCACTGGGGACTTCCATGAACGACGTCACGCACCTGGGGGGGGGGGGGGGGTCAGACATTTGTGACGATGTGTGACGAGGGGGGTGAGAAATGTTACGTCACATAAAAATGCGCAACTTTAAATAAATATAGACAACACGTTCTACTTAATTAAATTGACTTTTAAATAAATATTTTCTCCTACAACATCAGCGTGCAGCGCCACATTTAATACGCACTACAATGACAATAGTTTAAAGCGATTTAAAGCATGTTTTAAAAAATGGGGGGGGGGGGGGGCAGAGCTTTGTGACGTCATATTTGAGGGGGGGGTCTGACTTTTTGTGACGCCGTGTGACGAGGGTGTAAAAAATCGTCCAAAATCGCGTGACGTCATTTATGGACGGCCCCACTCCAGAACCGTTGTAAATGTCGTCGTTGGCACGGGGCTCTGCTGGTGTCAAGGGATGAATCAAGTTCAAGTTCATTTATTAGGCATAGCCCTGTGAGCCATTCGGCTCTTGAATCGGGTGCAACCGCAACAAACAAAAAACAAAAACAGTGAACAAAAAAACAACTTAAAGTGAATATGTGACTAAGTGCAAACAGAAAATCCAAGAAAAGACAGCAAAATATTGCAGAAAAAACACCGTACACCAACGCTGTGTGCAAAAATCGGCCCCCTCCCCTGTCCAATTACACCCCCGGCCCCCCTCGCCTCTTCGTAGCCCGGCCCATGAGGCCCTCGGTTCCCATGGGTCCCGGTGCAGGTGCAGCGCCTGCACGCTCTCGATACAGTCAGTGGCCACGCGACTGGGTTGGTCACGATGGGCAGCAGCTGTTCGCTGGCTCAGTGCAGTTACAATTCTTCATCGGCAGCAGTCATGGTCAATTCACTGCCGGATGAGGGTATTCCCACGCCGTGCCGCTAGAATGTAGTATTTGACCATACCTCGCCACGCTGATCATTGCGTGTAGATGAAGGCTCGTGAGCATTCGACGTGAGCGTGGAAGTTGCGTGCATTACGTTCATGGGGTTTGCTACACTGCCCCCTGCTGGACACAGCGGGGATGTTTAAAATAACGTGTTACAGGTATATATATACTAAAAAAACAAGCTTTTTTTTCGTATTGTCGTTAGAGTATGGACTTCTCGATGTTTCGGCCAAACTGGCCTTCTAGGAGAGGCTGGATGTCTGTTATATGCTCTGTATACAGCGCACAAGACGAATAAAGTTGCGAATTCAATTCCTAGTTGGGCTGGGATCAGACGCGGCCCATCTATCATCCATCCCTCCGGGGCAATCCGAGGAAAAGTTAAACTCTCAATGTCCCCCCACTGCCCCCCCCCCCCCATATACTATGCAGTGCTGAGATATACCGGTCACGGTCACAAGAACGTGGAATTTCCACCCACCGCCAAAAACGTGTCACCTTACCCAGACGGCCACAGAAAGGAAAACAAATCACGAATCCCCAACGGTCTGTCCTGTGCAGTGTCGAAGGGGGTTTTGTTTAGCTCCAGGGGCTCGTCAACATGCGGCTCCGGAGCCGCGTGCGGCTCTTTAAAGGGCTACTTCGTGAAATGTCATTTATTAAAGGAGCCACCGTCTATCGCATTCACGTGGCACCGCGGGCTCTCGAAATATTGGGGCTCTTCTTGTTATTTTGGTTGCTGGCCCCCTGGTTTAGATGGTGAATGGAGGCAGGATATTTTTTTGCAGAAGGCTTCACCGCTCCCTGCCTCCTTCTGCCGTGTGTGTCCCCCCCCCCCCCAGGTACGAAGCGGCCAGAGCCCGTGTCCCTCCTGCCCCCAGCCCGGAGAGGCCTCCCTGGGGCCGCGAGTCTGGGACCACCGCGGCCAGGGGGCATCTGCACTACGGCTTCGGAGGTGACCCCGTGCCAAGGTGTGGGGGTCGCTTGGGATGAGAGGGGCAACACAGCGGGGTGGGGGGCAAAATGAGCATTGCCCCCCCCCCCACATTATTTTAATAGACAGACGTTGAATGTCAGACCATGACATTTTTCACGTGGAAGTTGTATATAATCAGGTCGATGAGTCTCTATGTGAGCCCATGTGTCTCAGTGTGGGTCTCTGTGTGAGTCCATGGGTCTCTGTGCGTGCCCGTAGGTCTCTTTGTGGGTCTCAGTGTGAGCCTATTTGTCTTCGTGCAAAGAATCAATACATTACAATGTGTCATTTTAGATACATTTTGTGTTTACGTGTCACTACGCTATTGCTATGCGAGTCAACCGACGCCCTGGATGCCCTTGCAAATCGGGATTATTCGTCTCAAGGGGGTTCCCATGTGAAATATTTCATAAATAACAATCTATAAAAATGTTAATTCAACTGGAGTGACTTGTGCTTTAGCGAAAACCAATTTGCCACCTCCAACATAGATAGGGGTTCAGATGCGCCACTGGTTGGGATTTAGCAGAACGCAGCTTGTTTATCTTGAATAACCGAAACAGTTGAGAAGACGTTCAAACGATGGACTTCACAGAACCACCGCTAGGGGAAGCATAGAGGTTTGTTGCTTTCTATGAAGTTGGGAAGTTGGTTGACCTCAAGCAACATAAATGCTCAAATATATCTAATTTTCGGGAGTCAACGGCTGGGCAACTAATTTCATTTGACTGTGTTTCTGGTTTAATTGACACTACATTCATGTGATTGGGCAGGTGCTTGCACGTGGATATACGTTATAAATATGTCACTGCATTTTGATCAGCAATGATTGATCCACTGCTGGATGAAGGCTTCCCCCGAGCTGTCGCCATCTCTCGAGGTTTTGCGATGAAACAGTCGAAATAGCACCCGCACACGAGTGGATTTAATTTCATCTCCACGGTAGACACAACCTGGGATGTGTTCCCTCCCACGATGAGCGTTGACCACCAGCCGTCATCCCTTCCAGAAACGAGTTCTGCCCAACCTGATTACTTCTATGAGCGGTCCATATGTAGTCTTATTCTTAGGTTTTTTCGGTAAAGTTACGTAGGTAAAAAATTAAAATTAATAAAATAAAATAAAAATCACGACGTTTCGGAGGCAACACAAGCTTCCGTCTTCAGGTGGAACCGTCACAGCACGATAGCTGTATCAAGTGAGAGAAATTCCAAGAAAACAGTCCTTGTATATATACTGGTTGAGGGTGGAGGAGCCAAGGTAGACCCTGAATATTATTTTTGTGAGGTTCGGTGCGGCTGAAGCACGCTGTTAGGAAAGAGCCTTTGTTGTGTAAACTAGGTGCGGATGATTTAAAGGTGCGTGTAAATGGGACTGAGCCTTTTGTTACGTAGAAGTGAAAAATCCTAAGAATATGAATCCTTGCAGTCACGAAAGCTTCAAATCTAGAACATATGTAGTCTCTAGCTTGGGAAATGTTACGTTGTCCCTCCATGTAATGTATCGTGCGCTTGGTTGGTGTGTACATTTTGTAACTCTCTTGCGAAGGGCAGTGGGATCCGCATAGAGCAGTGCTACGATTTGACTCAGCTCAAGAGGAGCAACCTCCGCTCCAACGACCAACTGTGAGTGCCCGCTTACACGTGTTCCACACACCTGCGGTCATAGGTGACACGACATGTGGCCCACATGCATTGGACACACCCAGAGGGGACAGGCAAGGTGCGCACAGCCCTTGCACTGGCTTTGCTGCATGCTCTATAGCCAAGCTGGTTGAATATGCAATCTATTATCACCATCATCATCGTCAGCCATTGTCTGTCAACTGCTGGAGGAAGGATATGCAACTATGAGAATAGGTTTTTTCCCTTTTTTCTGGCAACAAAACAGGGGTTAAGATGTTAAAACACCAACCTGAAAGCTTTTGCAAGGAATCATGTCTGCATTAACTACAATACTTGTGGTCAGAATGCAAACAAAAAACATCCTCTGATAATACATGCATTGTCTTTGAAACTGATTGGTCCTACACCAGAGACAGCTTTCATTGGAGCCTAGTCTGTGCTGTACGCCTTTTGGCGTCCTCTGGTCTAACACTTTTTGAGACATATTTTGGTACTGGCAAAGGAGGTCCCATGATGAGATATGCAACTAATTGATAGCATTTGCCGGGCAGTGGTGGCTCTCCGCATGCCTGTAATCCAGCGCTGTGATGGGTGGATCGCACGGATGTTGTGAAATTCCTTTCCCGTGGGAATTGAGATGCCATACCCTGCTTTCAACAGGTTTGTGTAAGCGACCAAAGTCATGTTGATGTACGTTCGTGCAATATTCTCTGTTTCTCGTGTGACTCAGTTGTGTTTGGGCTGTTTTCTGTTTGCTTAATTGTCCGTACTTATTACATTTGTTTTTCTCTTCTTGTTTTTGGTGACTCTTGCGAATGAGACTGGCCTGGTCTCTTGAGTTCAACAAATGTTTAAGCTTGACTTGATATGTTAGAATTTTTTGACTCAATGTTCAGGACAGAATTTAACGTTTTAGCATAATAAAAAATTGTACAATTACTTTCAATAAACCCGGTGTATATGCGTACAATCTTGCAAAGCATTTCAAATACGCACGGTAATGCAGTGCACACGAAGACCTGGTGATCATGATGAAACATAAGTGGTCCTAAAAACCACGCAAATATTCACACATTAGACGAGATACGCTTCAAATGCCTTTATTTTTCATTTTATATCTGTCTAAATTGTGTTTATCATATTCTGTTTTTGTACTTTGAGTTATGCTTAGTGGTGCAGTTCTTGTTTTCAACCCCAGGTCTCAGATTACAAAGAGACCTTCAGTCGCAATTGGGTTATTACCGGGTTACAAAGTCAACGGGCTTGATTGATATTATTGCGCCATATTATTGTGGCACTGTTTGATATGGCTGCAGAGTTTGGTGGTACATGTTGTTTGCGTCGTTTATTGTGAAAATTCGGTCACAGTTCCTATGACCACTGTTTCTTTGCGCCTATGGCTTTATTTTGGTGATTTACGAAAAGTGTTTTTCTTTGGCCATGTTTGTTTGTTGTAGTACAGAGTTAGACTGATGGCCTTAATCTAAGTTGTCTTGTGGTTGTTGTTGTTTGACTTGCATCCCACTGGGATATTTGCACAGGGTTGGTGTACGGTGATTTTTCTTGGATTTTCTGTTTGCACATAGTCACTTTAAGATGTTTTCTTGTTCATGTTTTAGTTTTTTGTTTGTTGCGGTTGCACCCGATTAAAGAACCGAATGGCTCACAGGGCTATACCTAATAAATTTACTTTGAACTTTGATATCTACCTCAATTTCCCGTTTGTCACGAATATCCTTGCGGCCTTGACAGCAGCAGTAGTTTGAAATGCGATGTCTCTGTCCTTTCAGGCTGCCCAAGCCCCAGGAATCGCTCCTCCAGTGAGTAACAAAGCTTATTTCTCGTTCACAAATCACGCATTTATTAACATGTTTTATATTCTTTGGGTCTTTCAGTAAAGTCACGTAGAGAGGTTCAAAGAAATATTTTTTGTTATTTTCTTTGAACCTATCTACAGTGAGGGAAAAAAGTATTTGATCCCCTGCTGATTTTGTACGTTTGCCCACTGACAAAGCAATGATCAGTCTATAATTTTAATGGTAGGTTTATTTGAACAGTGAGAGACAGAATAACAACAAAAATATCAAGAAAAACGCATGTCAAAAATGTTATAAATTGATTTGCATTTTGATGAGGGAAATAAGTATTTGACCCCTCTGCAAAACATGACTTAGTACTTGGTGGCAAAACCCTTGTTGGCAATCACAGAGGTCAGACGTTTTTGAATTCCTGCAGTCACGAAAGCTTTAAGTCAAGATTTAACATATTTTTTGTTTTTACATGTTCAACCAGTTACCCTCATCCTGTAACACGTGACGCATGCAACGATAATTGCTGTTTTTGTATCGTGACCTATGTGACCGTGCATGGATAACTAACATCCGTGTCATGTCGTGACATCTGCACCATCGCAACGACGCTCGTGGAATAATAGCCTAGCGGCTCATTGGGCCCTTCTTGCTGAAATTAACCAAATCTATCGTCTATCTACATATACACTACAGCGCTTACAACTTGCATGAAAGTCATTCCTGTAGGGTTTACTCAACTAGCGCAGGCGTTGTTGAGTCGTTTTTTACGATGCAAATTTTTGTTATACCAACTGAGATGCCTTCACACGATGTGAAAAAGTCAAATGTGTACCTGTGAGTACACGTACACTGAAAACGACATGGGGAACTGCCGAGTTACAATTGTGGTGCTCGGGGATTTGTTAGTAATCTTTGCAGTTGGTGAAGCTCACGCGTTCGTAAAAAAAAACACATTTTCGTTCCTAAAAGAACCAAAGTCGACCAACCAGTGTGATGGTTTCGTGAATTTCACAGACACTCCCGCATGTGTCAACATTCGCTCATTCTTGTACAAGTACAAACTTGTACACGTTGAGAGTGTCCATAGAGACGAGTGCATTGTTACTGCTTTAGGGAACTTATTCATTGAATTTTATATGAACAGGGCTTTTTTGTTTCTCTAACTGAAAGGAAAGAAACACATTGATGTTTTCATCGCGGATTATTGAGGATTGCGAAAAAAACCGAGGTAGAGCGGTGGCACAGTAGTTAGTGCACTGCGCTATGAACCCGACGAATCTGCGTTCGATTGCCCGGCCACAGCTATCAATGGCGAGTGAAACTTGACCCAGTCTTACCCTCTTCCTCCCCCCCTTCACCAATCCCCACTGACCAGCGTGGAGAAGTATGACCAAACAATCTCCACGTCTGACGCAGGGCCGGATTGAGATTTTGTAGGTCCCTGGACCCCCAGTAATATTTTCAAAAGGAAAACAAAATTAAATAAAAATAAAATTTATTTTTACAAGGCTAACGACAAATAATATTCAGCATTCACAACTGAAATAACTTTTCACTTCATCTCTGGAGACCCTCCAGCCCCTGGGCTTGCAAGCCCCTAAAGCCCCGCGTCCTGAATCCGGCCCTGGTCTGACGCAGCGTTAGGGAGGCATTCACTCAGCAGGAGACTGACAGAGCGCTGTAAATTCCAATTTGTTTTTACACAAATGTGGAATCCTAAATATACAGGAGATGATGACGAGTGGGCTTGGGTTGACGCTGTTGATACAGAACCAATCGCCTGAGGGTGGCTCATGGCAGGAGATGACATTGGTCTCATTTAAGTGTAAATGTAAAATGTAAAGTGTCCTCAGAGACTCTAAGAATTTTAAAGGTGCCACCTAAATGGTGGCCTCATCTTCATAAACAACACAGGCCCACCCTTCCTGTCCCGTCTACTGTCATTTGACACTCGCTGAATACCTCAGCGCCTCTCAGCGCCTATGGCCACATCGTCTGGAATGCGTGAGATCTCGGAAGATAAGCAGGATGGAGCCTGGGTATTATTGGATGGATGACGAACATGTGCGTATCAGTTCGCCATAGGCAGTTGTGGGACCGTGCTATATTATGGGCAGCAGAGGGTAGTGCGGCAACATTTACCGTTGTACCGTACTTCTATGTTGCCATCTACATGCCCCCCCCCTTCACCAACCCACACTCACCACCGTGTTGGGGTGTGGTCACGTAACCCCCATGACTGACACAGTGTGGGGAGGCCATCATCTCCCCGTGGATAGGCAAATGGTAGACTACTATTATATTGATGTATTTATAATAGAGACAGGCAGGTGAGTTGGGTTGCACAGGACTTGTGACGGTGGTATCACCATGTCTCTCAGTGTCTCTGTGCCTCACCATGTCACCGTGTGGCTCACCACGTCTCTATGACTCACAGGGTCTCCGTGTCTCACCATGTCTCCGTATGTCCCACCACGTGTCCGTGTGTCTCACCATGTCTCACCGTGTGTCTCACCACGTATCAGTGTCTCTTACCGTGTCTCCGTATGTCTCACCACGTGTCCGTGTGTCTGCCCACGTCTACCCGTATCTCTCACCACATCTCCGTGTCTCTCACCGTGTCTCCGTGTCTCTCACCACGTCTCCCCGTGTGTCTCACCACGTGTCCGTGTGTCTCCCCACGTCTCCCCGTGTCTCTCACCACGTCTCCGTGTCTCTTACCGTGTCTCCATGTCTCTCACCGTGTCTCCATGTCTCTCACCACGTCTCCGTGTCTCTCACCATGTCTCCGTGTCTCTCACCGCGTCTCCCTTGTCTCTCACCACGTGTCTGTGTCTCTCACCACGTCTCCCCGTGTCTCTCACCACGTCTCTCACCGTGTCTCCCACCATGTCTCCGTGTCTCTCACCACGTGTCTGTGTCTCTCACCACATCCCCGTGTCTCTCGCCACGTGTCTCCGCGTCTCACGTGAAGGCAGCACCAGGTGCGCTGCCCCTTCCCGCGGGAGCACCCCTTCGCCTCGCACGTCTCGCGCCTGGCCCTGCTGCCCTCGTCGGATGCTCCCGAGCCCCAGGAGGGCAGCCACGCAGGGGCCGGGCAGCGCGCGGCTCTGCCACGGCCCGTCAGGGTCATCGCCAAGACCAAAGGTGACCACCGCAGTGATGCTTGGGCCTCGTGCATGACTATGTGGTTGTCAAAATAGACTCCCCCCCGCTAAGTCGGTTCAACTCGTGCGGTTAATTCGTTTGTAGAGCCACTCGCGCGTATGATTCGACTTTTCAAGGTCAAAGGAGAGAACGCTTTCTGAAGTACTCTATTTTTATTTTAACAGGTAAGACGCATTGAGCTATTTAGCTCTTTTTTCAGAAGCGACCTGGCCACAGATGATAGCTCAACAAAGTGGCTTATCGTGTGGAAATTTATAGCAACAAAATAATCTAAGCGCATGTTTCTAAATGTGGAGTGAAAAACCGGAGGCCCCGGACAAAAATTCACACGACCACGGTAAGAACATGCAAACTTCAAATATACAGCCGTCAGGATTGGGATTGAACCCACGACCTCCTGCATATTAGGCAAGGTAGTTAACATCTCGCCACCGTGGCACAAGGGAGTAAAGTCCCCCCCACGTTTCGTCCGACTCGCCACAATGGTCAGCGTTGACCTGACTGGTTCCCTGCGCAATCCGGTGACGCTTAACGCGATGGCTAACCTGGCATATCGGCCTGTCTCTGCAGGGGGTCCCTACCGATACGAGGTCGTGATGGCAGAGCCCGTGGAGCGGTGCAGCCAGTGGCCAGGAGACCACGGTTTCTACCAGGTAAGGGCTCCAGGAGACGACCAGGAGATTACATAGAGCCGGACCCTGAGGGCCACGAGGGCCGGAGGTCAGAAACTCCTCGCAGAGTTGCACGTATGTTGGACTTCTTTCGCACCGTACGTAGCCAACTGTGCTAATCGAAGGTGCGAGTTGTCATCATTGCCCATGGCATTCCCGCTTGTCAATCCACTGCCGGATGAGGCCCTCCCCTTGCCGTGCAGAGTTATTTGACCATACTTCACCATCCTGGTCAGTGCGGGTAGGTGAAGGTGTGGGTTTAGGGTGGTGTGCAGTGGAGATTTCTGCACTGACCTCTGCTGCACACACCGCCTACGACTGTACACGTGCTTGTGCCTGCTGATCAACCATGCAGGCACGATCCAGGCTTGATAATAATAATGACATTTATAATTCGGCAAATTTTGCAGACAAGTCAACAACTCAGATGCACGGAGCCAAGCTCAGGGCTGCTCGAAAGCCTGACCGAACAGATGATTCTTGAAAGTCAGAGTGCATTTGATGTTGCGGATGTGCAAAGGGACAAAGTTCCACACCGAGGAGGCGACAGAAGAGAGCCGGTGCGAGGCTGTAGCAGTTCGAGTCCTTGGTGTCCGAAGCAGATTTTAAGTGACACTGCGTACGGTTCTGAGTCTGCTTAGCTTCTCAGATCGGATGGGATTGGGCGCATTCCAAGTGGTTTGGCCATTCATTCAATCACTCAAGTATATATATATAATTTATAAGCAGGCTCAGCCATGGAACCCAGTTTACCAATAATAATAATAAGTGGCATTGGTTTGCGTACTTCATTGACATGGTGTTTAGTCATTGATTTAAGCTTCGTATTTGGCAAAATTGAAATTGATTATGGTTAGTTGCAGTGGTTATTTCGATTACTATTTCACATCCGAATGTGATTTTTTTAATTGTATTTGACCAACAGAACATTATAATTTACGGTAACTGCCTCTTCCTCTCAATAACTATCACGTATATATGTTTATTGTAAATGAGCCATGTGATTGGAAAGGTCATTTGTTTTGTCTTGAATTGACTCGAAGCCTGGCGAGATACACGGATATATACGCTATCTTTATTTAAAATATTAAACACAGTCGTAAAAATATAATAATAATAATAATACATTTCTGAGCTCACCAGTGACATTTTGACGTTTATACGTGCAGAACATGTCAAACAAATACCTTGAAATGTATGTATGTTGAACTTCCTTTGCAGCACATGTAGCCAACCTTGCTAATGAGAGGTATGCCTACATGGTAGGATTTTTTTGCAGTTGTGTTGTATGGCTTCGGAGTTCTGTTTAGGGTTATACCGCAACATAGTTCAGCCTTTACACAATGCTGGTAGTTTCTTTAGGAGCTGAAGCAAGTGGAGCGGAACGTCTGGCGATCAAACTAAACTAAACACTTTTCTATTTTACCAGGTAAGGCCCACTGCGCTATATAACTCTTTTTCAGATGCGACCTGGTCACAAATGATAGCTCAACACAGTGGCTTATCACGTGGAAATTTATAGCAGCCAAATACTCTATAAACGCATGTTGCTTCTAAATGTGGAGGCAAAAACCAGTAGCACCCGGAGAAAAATCCACATGACCACCGGGAGGGAGACATGCAAACTCCAAGTATACAAACGTCGGGGTCGGGATCGAACCCACGACTTCCTGTGTACCCGGCGTGGTAGTTAACATCTCGTCACCGTGGTGAGATGTGAGTGCGCGGTACAATCCGAAAAGGCATCACAGAGCACCGCGTGTGCGTGGCGAGGGTGCAAGCGCAGCCCGTGGTCTCCGTGCCGTTGCATCGCGTGTCCTAGAGCGCGACGTGAGTGGTTGGTGTGTCGCGCTGCTGGGTGTGTGTGTGTGTGTGTCCGCCGCAGGGAGCGGTATTGTAGCGGTTAGCGCGCTGCGCTATGAACCCGGCGACACGGGTTCGATTCCCGCTCACTGCCAACATCAGTGACGATTATCTGAACCGGTCCCGGGCCTCCCCTAGGTCGACTCAGCCTCAAATGAGTACCTGGTGCGGTGTGTAAACATTGCCACTAGGGAGACAAAGGCGGTCGGGCGTGGTGCTTTCCACCCACCCCCTCGTGTACCGTTCCGGCCTTCATAGGTGCTCGCTAACAGTACTTGCCCCTATAGTCTGTTAAGGCTATACGGGGGATCTTTGTGTGTGTCTGCAGCCTGATTATCTGAACCGGTTACGGGCCTCCCCTAGGTCGACTCAGCCTCAAATGAGTACCTGCTGTGGTGTGCAAACAACGCCGCTGGAGAGACATGTTTTTGTTTTTTGTTTGTTGCGGTTGCACCCGATTCAAGAGCCGAATGGCTCACAGGGCTATACCTAATAAATGAACTTGAACTTGCACGTGTAGATGCCCACAGGCCCAGGCTTCCCCAAGGAGGTGTTCTACCCGACGCCGCCAAAGACCGTCGCACCCAACCCTCGGCCACGGGAGACGGCTCCGGGCCCGCGCACGGCCACCGAGGCACGGAACGTGGAGCGCTGCCGCTGGCGCTCCAACTACACACTCAACTTCACCGGTGCGGACGGCGCAATCGCACCGCAATCGCACCGCAATCGCACCGCAGTCGCACCGCAATCGTACCGGTGCACACACCGCAATCGCACCGGCTGAGGGGAGACAACACCGACGCGTCAAGAAACAAGTAAAGTAATGGGCACACGTGGGGCTTGTGACACGCTTTCCTGCGAGCGCGTGTCCTCGAAAGCACTTCATTCGTGTGGAAGGGGGAGCTGAGTCGATGGGTGGATGTGACGGCAAAAGGCGATTGCATATTTGCACACAGTCCTTTTTTCTTTTGTTCTTTCGTCTTCAGTTTTGGGCAGCACGTTGATTCATGTATCTGCCTTTCTATAGGGTCAGTCCTTAGAGCAATGCTACTTCATGCTGAAGTTTCGTTCATTTTGGGCCATCGTTAACAGGGGTATAGTGCCCCCCCCCCTCCTTTACAGCACGGACAACAGAGCTAATGCTTAAACACTCTCAACCTGAGTTGCAAAGCATTGAGTCATTGTAGAGACAATTAACATACACATCTGCAACATTTCCTTAAAGGCATGGACTTTCGGATGTAAAACGTTGATGCACATTGCCAATTAACTTTGCAAGCAGCCGTTGTCTGGGAGAGTATATGCAGGTTGCCTCTTGCTTGAGAATTATTTTTTGGCCTCACCGTGAATACATTGTTAGCAACTGGTGGCAATTGTTTGTAAACAAACAAAAACTGTAAAATCCGAAACTACTTCCTTATTTGTTACCCATTGTATGAATCACCACATGTCAGCTGCACCATATTCAGTACGGTGCATGCATTGTTATTGTTCATAGGTCACGGACCAATGAATCCCATTCTCTTGGATGACCACCACCTGAAGCTGCTGTGGAGCTTGAGAAGTGGAAAAGCACCAAGCAGCAAACTGGTACTGTGATTGCAGACATCGACCCCCCCAGCGTACGCGATGGTCATTGGCACGCCGCGATGCGCTTGAGCGTGGCTTGAATAGAATAGAAGATCCAAATTATTGCGTGAGCCCTTCAAATGTTTTTATTAAGATTGGCGGCATGCTTCAAATGTAAAAGGTGGTAGTGTATGTACGTATGTCGAAATTATTTTGCACTGTGCGTAGACAAACCGTGATAAAAGGAGGTGTGGGGGAAGGACAACAAACTAAACACGAAAAGCAGTTCTAAAGAAATGAGTTTTTAATATAGATGTAAAAGTGCATAGCTCCCAGTGGCTTCCGAATATCGGAAGGAAGAGCATTCCAGACGGCCCCAGAAGTGCATCTGAAAGGGCGCGGATGCAGTGGCCGTCTTTGTTCGATGGCTCGCCAAAAGCTGTTGCAGCTGCGCGGATGGGCGGAGTTTTCGTGATGGTTTAGAGGCACAGCCCTGCAATTGCTCACTCAGGCCACTGCTGGTGGAAGGGCCAACGACTAAAGGGGGCTCTAGTGAGCCTCTCCCGAGAGTGACATCAATGGACATGAAAGCTTAACCGAGTATGCCCTACGCTGTTTTTGTGCCATATCTAGACTTCTCTGACAATCTATGCACAATATATTTTTCGAAAAGCCACGTCAGCAACGCCACCGTCACCATTAACACTGCCCTGCAACAATCATCATTACTGTACTTGGCCAACGCTTTGTGTCGTGTCCTTTAACGAGGATGACGATGAGCTATTATTTGTGGTCAGGTCTCTTATGAAAAATAAGTTAATAGCTCAGTGAGCTTTACATGGTAAGATAACAAATAGTTAAAATTTTTCTGTATTTTTTAAAGTGATTTGTTTACCTTTCTTATACTTTGCACTCCTATCGTGTTTTATATTGTTTGTTGTTGTAACATTTTGGACACCTGTGAAAAAGAGCTTCATAGCTCATCAGATTCCTCCAGTATAAATAAATATTCTGATTCTGTATTGATCTGTGCTTTTTAGCAACGCAGTTGTGTTGCTTCTTAGCAACACAGTTGTTACAAAGCACAGATCAATATATATGTAATTGGGATTCTACGTAATTTTTTTCGTTTAAAAATATATTTCATTGGGCTTGTACTGTATAGTACATCCCTTTTGTCAATCCACTGCTGGATGAAGGAAAAATAGACGTTAGGAGCACAGTAAAATGCAATGGATGTCTTTCTCCACCGCCCTCTGCGATGGCGTCAGCCCCAGCAGCAGCCGATGTACGCAGCCAACCGCGCTAATAATCGAGAAGGTTGCCGATGACCACCGCTTCGCCCTCGCTTCGCAGGTAGAGAGGTCGCTTCCCAAATTCTCTCTCGCTCGGCCCGAGCACGGGCGCACGCCTCGCTTCGTCGCGAGCGGCTGGCTCCGAGATCGCTTCGTGGCGGAGTGTGCGTCTTTCGAGGCCGGCGGAACGAGTGCCACGGCGGAGGAGGAATCGGTCGACGACTCCCGGCGCCTCGCCGCCCACCTCCACTTTGCGGATCCGCCGGCGGCGGAGTGCGCCGGGAAGAGTGGTGCCGACGCTGCCGCCGGTGATGGCACGGCGTACGACCCCGGGGAGGATGAGGAGGTGGCGGCGGCGGCTCACGGTCTCGGTGGTGATGTCAGATACAGCTCGGGTGCCGAATGCGGCAAAGTGCCCCCATATTGCCGGCACCTGGCCGACGCCAACGCATCCCCCGCGATCCAACCGCTGACCGGGCAGGGAGTAGAAAGGGCCATGCCCCTGTCGACCACAGCAGCCGACGCGGCGGAGCCCGCAGTCGCCGCTTATCAAGACGGCCGGGTTGGTTTCCGTTCGCCGCACGTCACCGGTGGCGAGGCGCCGAACGAGCACGATAATCTTGATCTCGCCTCCCAAATCCACAAAAACGACGAGAACGCTCCGTGGAGCCGGGTAGGGTGCGAGTGGGGCTCCCCACGGCCGCACTCGGCCCTTGCCGGCGCCAGGCCGGTGCCGGGGCACCACCGGGCGAGGCCGCAGAGCGCCCTGTACCGGCTGCAGGACTCCTTCTCCAGGTCGGACGCCCTGGGGCGGCTGCACGCCTCGTCGGGGAGCGACCCGGTGGACCTGCGCGACCACGTGCGCTCGGGGCGACAGCACCACTTTCACGGCTTCCACTCGTACTACTACCACAACTGACGGACCGCCGACCACCGCAGACAACGGTGCCGCGGATGGGGAAAACCTTTTGCTGCATGGCGAACGAATGCAAATATGTGATACTGGTTTCAATGCTCTTTACATTTCCCGCACCTCCGATTAGCACGGTTGGCTATGTATGTCGCGAAAGGAGTTCAACATACATACGTTCAGGTTCAGAGGTCACCGGTCAACGTATCCCAGCACGTCCACTCTCTTGATGTTCCCGATGCTGAGCTTGGTCCACTGCTTGATGACACCGCCTACCCCCTCCAACTCCATCACGTCCGTGCTTTCCGTTACATACAATTACCATCCATAATTAAAGACCTGAAAATCGCCTTTGGTGGTACTGACGAAGGACGTGCAGTGGTCGGGGTCTGTGGGCTAACAACTCCCCCCCCTCCCTGTGAGCATGAGCGGAAGTGCTGTTGGTGCAGTGAGCTCCAGTGGTATACCCATTGGGAGGGAGCCCTGACCCATTGCCGAGTGATTGTCACCTCTACAGATGTGACACTGGCATAGACGTTAGGGGTTGCAGGGTCACCTGGCGATGTTTGTTGCTTAGACCAGACACATTCGGTGGTGGGTTGTGGGGCTCGGCTTGCTAATACATTGTCAGAGTTCCTGATTTCAAGTCTGGGCAGTCACCGGTGATTTAAGCGTGTCTTTCGGTGTAGCACTTTTCAACTTGGTCACAATGACTGCACAGAAATCTACCCTTACATTTCATTTTCAGTCAATTCATGTTTCCTGCTCTTTTCAGTTTTAAAGGGAGATGATCCGGTGCACCTCGCGTAGACAATAAGTATCTTGAGATGGCACCACAGAAGTCACACTTCTAAAAACCAATGGATACTGTCAATTATAAACTGAGGGCACTGCCGAATTGCATCCTCAGTTCATTGCGCCACAGAGTGTACAGTACAACAATATCTTCGTCTGCAGCCTGGGCTGTAGGAGAAGTTGGGCCAATGGCATGCTCAATTGTACCTCATTGTACGACTGTGAGACCCAAAAGATAAGGGAACACATCTACCAAGAGGTACAATGCGAGAAGTGTGGAAACCATGAGGTATTCCTCCCACGTACATTTTGTAGCGTTCCTTGAATGCACTACTGTCCCTTTAATGTGATGGCAATGCACTAACAAGAGAGGGAATAAGATTAAAATTGCATTTGCACTTTTCATTTGGTGCTGTGATTGTGACACTTTATAATTTGCAGGAAGGAATCTGCATTTTGTATAATTAGTGCTGAGTTGTTTTATGCTAAGCAAAAAAAGAACATGTTTGACTGTACTATCGCCTTGCTCAGAGTTGCCGTCTTTGTTTGAAAGCCAAACAGATATTAAATGCTTGCACTGTGTTGTTATTGCATCGAGTGAATTCAATGAATGTTGTGTAAATTAATCGAGCACACCGATCAAATCAGAGGTAAATCAGTGACTCGCGGTGACCAGAAACGTGATCTCAATGGCTCACATTCCCTGCACAATATCGTCCAGAGTACTCGATATCCAAATCAGCTCAAGTCTCCCATTAATCACGTGGCTTCCACGTGGACACATCCCCAGCCACCTCCGAAAACAGACGCTGCCTCGTGAAGCGTTGAAGCCCTCAGTGTCACAAATTCCTCTCTAGCCTCGTCTTTCCTGATCTTTTACTTCCGTTTTTCTGTTACTTTTACCATAATATGTCTCTTAACTCCCACGCTAACCACTTCGCTTTGCCGTTTCCTTTTCTTTTTTTTTTCGTTCCGTATATCCCTCAGGTCTTCTTCCTCTCCCCGTGATGTGTCACGGGTCAATAGTTGCTCGTTGATTCTATTTCATGATTTGGATGTGAAAAGGTTCACAAGGATCCAGATTGACAGAGGCTTGGCTTGGAAAATATAGTATTTTATTATTATTTATGGTTATAAATGGATACATTATTTATAGCCAGGTGAGAACCCATAGAGGTGTAAGGGAGATGAACACCTATACACACGGATCCCATCACATTTCACAGATCCTAAAAAAAGGACAGATGAATCAGAGAATAACATGGACCGTTCAGATTTGGGCAGGGCACATTACTTGAAGAGATGTTATGGCCAGTGGTCAAGACTAGCAGAATCAGATGTCGTTTTTATCCTGGAGAAATCCGATGAGCTATGAAGCTGTTTGGAGAGAGAACAGAGATGGAGCAATGAAGTTTTCTGTTGCAGCATCTATCTGGATTGCTAGAACCGCTAGATCTTTGAGAGATGGTGATCACTTGGGGAGATCGTCATCCAGACAACTGATAGGTAATGGCTTCGGATGATGCTTAATACGATTTTTTTTAATTACGTAGACGTGGAAAACGAATATGCGTATATCCTGCCGTCACTCAATTGCCCCAGTGTTTCATCAGCACGTTCCGGACCCCCCCCCCCCCCACTGCGGTCTCGTGTTACTGATCGAGCCGTGTCATTCCCGCTACGATGAAATTGGCTGGCCTGTGGCTGTTTGCGACAGCCTCAGCCGACGACAGCCTGCGCGTTTTGCCTACGTGATCACGAGCGGCGAAGCCGCGTTCCCGACGTCACCTCCACAGCACGTGGTCGCATGCTGCACGTCCCCCAAGTGGCGTGCAAACTGCAGCGTCACTCTTACAATTCATATTTGTGCTCGCTGGCACACAAAGACTGTACGTGCTGTTAGCGAGCACCTACGAAGACCGGCACGGCACACGAGGGGGTGGGTGGCCAACACCACGCCCGGCCGCCTTTGTCTCCCCAGTGGCGTTTATTTTACACACCGCACCAGGTACTAATTTGAGGCTGAGTCGACCTAGGGGATGCCCAGGACCAGTTCAGATAATCGTGGCTGGTGTCGGCCGTGAGCGAGATTCAATCTCGCGTCGCCGGGTTCGTAGCGCAGCGTGCACACAACAACTCACCCTCTCCGATGGACATTACAATCTGCTTGCACGTTCAAATCGATTCCTTTATGCACACGCGTGCGTGTGATAATTGGATGGCTCAACAGTACTTACTCTATTGAGCACGTGTGTGTGTGTAAATTGTATTCACACAGAACGGATCGGTTCTTTAACGCTCGTGGGTTAGCAAACACTGCGCTACTATCACGGACACCCGAGTTCAATTACCGGGCCACGGCCAACATCGAGCGAATGTATGAATCGATCCTGATTGAGTCTGCTCTTGATCAACTCAACCCTTCAGTTTCATTTATTTGGTTTAGCCCTGTGAGCCATGCGGCTCTTGAATCTTAAATGAGAATACCTGGCGCGGTTTACCAACAACATCGGCACTTGGGCGTGGTGCTGTCCAAATCAGCCCGTGGCTTAAATAGGTGCTCGCTCACAACACCGTGCCCCCCCCCCCATCGATAATGATGTGTGAAAGGCCACAGTGGGTGGGTGGTCTTGGTGTTTTAGGGGGGTTGTGGTTCGCCAAGCCCAGTGTGCACGAGAGTTCTCTGCATGGTTCACGCGCGTGGCTTTAACAGCCGAACCGGTTCGAGCCACGCGGTCAAAATGACCGTACAAGGCATACGGGGACATCACCATGGGAGAGTCCACGTGCGCCTCGTTCTTAGGGGGGGGATGTAGGCGTAGGCAGTGATGGTAACGACTCTGTGCTTTACACTTCAGATTGATTACAGGCCATAACAACACGCGCCGCGGAGTCAAAGAGCCTCACGTCAACTCCCGTAGCCGATGTGAGGCTACGGAAGGGGAGTTTTTGTGTTTGTTTGTTTGTTGTTAATGTCGCTGGAGCTGTCGGCGTTCCGCCCGCCGCCGAGATGGTTCAGTCCACGGGTTATAAGAGGTCGCACCGGAGGAAACCTTCAGAGGTTAACTTTGCGTGTGTGGCGTCTGGACTCTTCACCTGGGCTAACTCGTCCGGGCTAACAACGCACCTGCCGGGCATTCAGGGTGAGTAGCCGGCGTCTTTGAGGCTTGACATTGGCAGGCTCTTTAAGAGACTCAGACCAAGGGGGGTTTTTTGGCAGCCGACGGCTCTTTAAGGACCCCCCTTCCTGGTGTGGTTTTTGTTGTTGTATTGAGGACCCACACAGTCTCGTATTCGCATGGCATTGCGGCTCACTAAATATTGAGTTGTTTCTTTGACCGAGTTCGACAAAAAAGGGGCTCCACTTGTTATTTTGGTCGCTCACCCCTGGTCTAGACGATGCTGATATTCCCCGTGCACTCCAGGTTATAAGGCGCACTCTTACCCGGATGGTCTTGTTCATGCGTCTTATAATCCGGTGTGTGGGAGAAAGAGCATTTTGTATAATTGTATTTACGCCGGTAATACGTTTGGGGCTTGTCTTACTTTCCCGAATAGTATTTAACTCGGAGATTGGGTAAGCAACGTGACGATAGTAATACAAAAAAAATACTCAACGGATGTGTGGGGTGATCCGTTTGTAGATAGAGTATCCCACTGTAATTATAGGAAGAACTAAGTAAAGCATGCGCCAACGTTGAACCAACGTTGGATCAACGTTGGCATGTATACTGGTACATAATAGAGGAAACATTGTACAGGGACTCCTCTACTTACGAATGAGTTAGGGTTCCAGAGGTCTGTCGATTCCGAATATGTATACTGAACACTGGGAATGGCTTTAGAAGTTGCCAAAGTCTGCTGTAGATGCCACTGGTTCTTCATGTTCTGCAGATGCAGATGCCACCTCAACCATCTATTGCGCGGCGTTTGAACTTACGACTTTCGGTCGTAACAGGCAACTGGACATACGGACAGATATGTTCGTATCTCTGAAAGTTCGTAAGGAGAGGAGTCGTCGTTCTTCCACTAACGTCAATGTCCTAGACATCTCCCTGTGACTCCTCTGTAAGATAGGGAACCATCGCTTCAACGCCATTATTCAATCGGCTGGCGAGAGGATAGGGGGTCATCAGACGCCGGTGGGAAGTCTTTAAATGCATCAACCCTCGTACTCCAGCGATAGACTCGATGGTGATACGGCAATGGCTAGTGTGGGAAACAGTGATGAGCTCTATTTAAAGCTTTCGTGACTGCAGGGATTCATCTTCTTGGTTCTTTCGGTAAAGTCACGTAGAAGGGAAGTAATAAAATAATAAAAATAAAACATAATAAAATAATTCTCACCTGGTGAAGACCAGCTGTCTCCCCGACAGACCTGGTCTTTACCTGAGGACGGCTGCTTGCGTTGTGGCCGAAACGTCGTGAGAATTATTTTATTATGTTTTATTTTATTCTTTTATTACTTCCCTTCTACGTGACTTTACCGAAAGAACCAATAATAAAAACAGTGATGAGCTCGTGTGGGCTGGGTGTCGTGGTGTACGTGTGGAATGTCAGGCGCGCCCAATTTTACGTGGGTGAGATGTGGTTGGAACATACCCACTCACTCACATATTCAGATGGGGTTAGGGGACTTGTGTGCTAATGCTGTGGCCTCTCGATAGCCGTAAAACACCCCTGAATCAATCCACTGCTGTATGGGGGGCACCTCTCCCACAATCTGCGGAACGTGGAGGTTATTTTGCGATGCTGCACCACCCTGGTCAGTGGGGGTCTGTGAAGGCAGGGATATAGATGCCGGAGCATATAAAGTACTGTGCAGTAAAACAATTGCTTTTTTTACACTTACACTGCCCTCTGCTACTGCTGCAAGTACGGTAATCGCCTTTATGGGTCCCCGTGGCTAATTACCAAACTCATTGCATAACTGAATTTCTCCCACGCATTAAGAACTGTGACACTGAATTTGGAAAGGTGGGGGAGCGGTGGCGCAGTGGTTAGCCTACTGTCCACTAAACCTGCCCCCCCCGCCCTTAGTTTGATTCCTGGGCACATGCGAATATCGGTGCCGAGCCACATCAGGAACCGGTCCTGGGCCCCACTGTTCACCAAACTGACGAGCCTGGTGAAGTATGGTCAGATGACCCACGTAAAAACCCTCATGTAGCAGTGTATTGACAAACAGCTGTAATTTTATATTCAAAGGACAACATTAAACATACACTTGACCGGAGGACAGACTTTACCCGCAAGTTTTACATCTCATGCTTATTGAATGCCTTTCTGTGCTGTGTTGTAAATGATGAACTGGAAGGTGGGCAGTGTGTACCTGTCACCTGGTCGGTGTGAGAAGAAAATAAAAGGGGAGCCACGGTGGCGAGATGTTAACTACCTCGCCTGATATACAGGAGGTCGTGGTTTCGATCCCGAACCATGACGCCTGCTGCTGTATATTTGGAGTCTGCATGTCTCTCTCCCCGTGGTCGCGTCATTTTTTTCTCCGGGTCCTCCGGTTTTCTCCTCCACATGCGTTTAGAGTATTTGGCTGTGATACATTTCCACGTGATAAGCCACTTGAT